CGGATCAGCAGCGCTGACCAGAGGTGGCCTCGCTTAATTGTCTCCAGGCTGTAGCCTATAATGCCAGGAACTTATAATGGGGCCGGAAGGGGCTGGTGGTAAATATACCTTCAAGTTACAGATTGTTCTGAGCTCAACTGGTTTTAAAGGAGTGATCACCACAAACTAAGATTTGAATATCTTATGTAACTTTACATGACAAACAATCTAGTAATCTTCCCTAAAGTCATGCATAATAAGTTACTTTTAAGGTAAGGTAACTTTTGTCCAATGATAGGGTAACTTTACCTGGATCCACTGTTGAGCAATTTAAGGCAACTCCCAAATTGACTACTTGGATTACCCTACAGAGTAGGGTATTCACAGCTCCTTACTAGTACCTATGTACTTCTTAGTATGGCATAGTATATCCAACTGAGATACTCAACTAATTGTACCTCTACTTAGTAGACTCTAGCCTACTACCATTCCTACCACTATAGTTTCTTAACACTGGTACAGATATAGGTTTGGTTAACTATAATAGTACTCCGCAGAGTCTCGTTACAACAGTAGTAAGGGAATAGGTTTGACTAACTGTAATAGTTCGCTGTGGAGTCTCCTTATATCACTCCCCTCTTCCATAAGGCTTGACCTGAGCCTGTGTAACATCTCTTGATCCCACTACTCCGTACATATACAACTCTATTGTACCTTGGTTTAAATGGGTACCTTTTATACAAAGTACTTAAGACCTGCATGCTTGTTCCTACTAACATTTCAAATGGCTCCAGCGAGTTCTCTTCAGGTCCATACCCTTCTCAAGATATAAGTTACTGGATAAAACAATGCAGAAACTGCTTCTTGGCTCTGCCATACTAATCGCTGTCTAATACTCTAGAGATAACATAGCTGTAGTCATCCTCCATGATGTCGGGGACGGTCACATCATTTACCCTTCTCCCTGCTTAATCCTCTTGGTATGGCTCCAATAGTCCAACATTCAATACCAGATGAATTGACCAACAGGCAGGCAACTAGAGTTCATATCCTCTAGTACACACACATTTCTTGACCACAAACAGACCAAACATTTAGTGGTTTAGTTTCCCTGTAGGCCTCTTGATAAGGATATTGTTGTAATTCAGTATTACCTGATCTGTCTTACTAGCTCTTCCTTGTTCATCATCTTCTAAGGTAGCATATTCCAGAAATAGTAGTTTATTCTTGTTGTGATATTTCTATTGCCTTTCTTGTATCCTCCGTAATGTTTCTCCTATATCTTGCCATATACTTTCCCAATCCTTGACTAACCATTCAGTACTTGGATGAATCCCTTTATTATCAGGAACCATTGCAGACTAGTTCATCCTCTGAGTAAATGTATAGTTAATCTCAGAAGAGAATTCTCTAGTAGATTAGGAGATGAATGTATAATAGGCATATTCTAC